AGTGATCCTGGCCATGAAAGTCTTTGACAACACAGTAACACTAAAACCTTACAGTATCTTTAAAAACCAGCCATTCAATATTGTTGAAGTTTTAGATGAAGGCATTCTTCCAATATAATGTTATACATAAAAGAGGGGGCTGTTGTAACATACTGCTCAAGGCAGTGTGAGTCCCATGGATCAACCAATGAAAAGTCTACAAAAAGAACTCTCTTATTCAAACCTTGCATTCCGTTATTAATATGGGCTACCAAATTGTTTCCCAGATAATTGTTTGATATTCTGTCCAACAAATATAAGCTTAAAGTTGAAAAGACCCCTTTAGGCCTTTTGGTCAAACTCTACTACAAGAGAGTCAAGGTTAGAGATAAACACAGAACTTCAGATTGCTTTGCAGCCTATGCCAGAACTGCTACTATCAAGGAATCTTAATAGACCACAAGCTAAACACGAGTCAACAGTGTGATGTGGCAGTTAAAAAGCCAATGCACTTCTAGGCTGAATCAATACAAGTATAATGTCTAGATTGAGGTAAATAATAGTCTCCAGTTCTGTGCACCATCATTCAATAAGAAAAAAGATGGAACATGGCCAGAGAAAGTTGACCAAAATGGTCTAAGTGTTTCTCAACCTGGGGGTTGGGACCCCTGTGGGGGTCATGAGGGAGTGTCAGAGGGGTCACCAAAGACCATCAGAAAACATAGTATTTTCTCTTTGTCATGGGTGTTCTGTGTAGGAAGTTTGGTCCAATTCTATCATTGGTGGGGTTCAGAATGCTATTTCATTGTGGGTGAACTATGAATCCCATCAACTACAACTCCCAAATGGCACGGTCTATTTTCTCCAAACTCTACCATTGTTCACGTTTGGGCAAATTGAGTATCTGTGCCAAGTTTGATCCAGATCCATCACTGTTTGAGTCCACAGTGTTCTCTGGATGTAGATGAACTACAACTCCAAAAACTCAAGGTCAGTGTCCACCAGACTCTCCCAGTATTTCTCTTGACCATGGGAATTCTGTGTGCCAAGTTTGATTCAATTCCATCATTGGTGGAATTCAAAAGATTTCAGGTGAACTATAAATCCCAGCAACTCCAACGTTCCCAAATAACAAAATCAATCACCTCCAACCCCACCAATATACAGATTTGGATGTATTGGGTATTTGTGCCAAATTTGGTCCAGTGAATGAAAATACATCCTGCATGTCAGATATTTATATTACGATTCATAACAGTAGCAAAATTAAAGAAATAGCAATGAAAATAACATTGTGGTTGGGGGTCACCACAACGTGAGGACCTGTATTAAGGGGTCGCGGCATTAGGAAGGTTGAGAACCACTGGTCTAAGGTCTAGAGGCCAAACCCTATGAGGAGTAGCCTAGTGAGCTGGGTATGTTGTTTAGCTTGGAGAAAAGGAAAGTTAAGAGGGGACATGATGGCCATATTTGAAAGGATGTCATATTGAGAAGGAGGCAAGCTTGTTTTCTGCTGCTCTGGAGACTAAGAAAAGAAGCAAGCTGCGGGAAAAGTGTTTAGGAAGAACTTCCTGACAGTCAGAACTGTCCAGTAGTGGAATATGCTGCTATGGAGTGTGGTGGGATCTCTTTTTCTGGAGAATTTTAAACAGAATCTGGGTGGCCATCTGCTGAGAGTGCTTTGATTGTATGTTCCTGAATGGTAGGGGTTTGGATTGGATGACCCTTGTGGTCTCTTCCAATTGTATTATTCTATGATTATATGGTTTGTCCTAATGTCTATATGGCATTTATCTCACTAGTCCAAATCCTACTGTTAGTCTTAGGTAGAGTAAATATATTGAACCATTTTTGAGATACCTAGAACTGCATCCTAAGATATAAACAGTGTAACTTGTAGGATTGGAACTCTCTATCCCAGACTGTGGTGGAGTTTCGTTCTTTGGAGGCTTTTAAACAGAGGCTAGATGGCCATCTGTCAGGGTGCTTTGAATGCAATTTTCTGCTTCTTGGCAGGGGGTTGGACTGGATGGCCCATGAAGTTTCTTCCAATGATTATATGAGTATATGATTTTGTTGAACCATCTATATGCTATCTATGTGTTGATTCACCTTTCAACAATTCAGTGGGTCTCTGAAAAACTTTTGGAACTAGCAACCTTCTCAAGCCTCTACTAGTTTTTGTTATGTATATAATTGCTTACTGTATTGTATATGTGTATATTGGTTTGCAATTTTACCTTAACTCTTTGCAGTGGGGGAGGGAGGGTCAGGTCTGGGCTTGTTCAGAGCTCAGACTCCGTTTTAGAACAGTACAGTTTAGACTTCAATGTACAAACAGTATGTTAGAGACTTCATTTGTTGTGACTCAGCTTCAACCACAGAGTGTCTCTGATGAGGATAATGGGACTCAGGTTCACAATCTGGTTCAAAATGTCCCTGTTATAGACAGTGAAGAAGTGCAGTTTCCCACAGCAAGGAATGAGAGTGTTGATACTGAAAATAACCAGGTGCAGGTGCAGATTGACTCAGAGAAAGAGGACAGTTCTCAGCCTGATAATGAGCAAGCAGAGAAACAGGCTGACACTAACTAACAGACTGACCTTGACGAAATGGGAACCTTAGATCGGGCTGACCGTTTGGAATTCAGAGTTCGAAGGAGTGTGAGAATAGCTAACAAGAATTAGACCAGAGGCCAAAGAAACGCCTTCATGTTTTGCAAAGGGTATTAAGCAGTGTGTTTGAGACCAAACCTTTGTCAAAGCAACTTTTCATTTAACCAAGAAGCTTGCCTTTGCTTGTCTGGATTTTCTTGCAGTTCTTGTGTTTATGTTTTCAGGTTTTTGTCATGTTCTTTGGGTTGCTGGTGCTTTTTTGGATTAATCTTCAAAGTGCTATTTTATATTGATCTTTTTATATTGATCTTATGGAACATTACCTTTGGTTTTAAGAACTTTTTACCTTTTATTCTTAATGAACTATAAAGACTTCTGGCTATGTGCAGTTTGGTGTTTACAGCAAGGTGACTCTACTCTGAGGTGCGACATCATTGAACTTTCAGACTAGAAACAGAGACTTTATTAGAAACTCAGAACAGAGAGATGCTTTATATTATGGACTATTGTTTCTAAGAAAGATGCTCTATGTTACCTACACAGAGAAACTACTTCAAATCCTATTTGTAACTGGATTGATAAGCAAAGTACCTGTATGCTGAATACATGAAGTTTGTGAGTAAACCAATTATGTTACTTTTAGAGAAGTCTGCTTATTTTTGTCTCTTGAGAGCGTGATTTAAAGGTAAATATATTTTAAAGAAGAGTAGATTTTTTGGGCAATTAAAAGGAACACTTCTGAAACTCTGCTATATGTGTGTGTGTGTGTGTGTGTATTTTGTGCATTGGCATATCTTTGTCCTTAACAGTTCAAAGAAATACCTAGGTACATCAGTTTAACAGCTGAGAAACCTAATTGCCTTGCATGCAGGCATGTAGCTGGGGGGGGGGGGCTTGGGGGGCTTCCGCCCCCCCAAATTCTCATGGTGGTCCCCGAGAAGGCCTTACTGGTGCATTATTTAAACTGTTATGTTTATTCATATCATGATCTGATCACCATACTCAATATATCCCATATGCATGGGGGTATTATGGTAACGATACAAAAGGTTTGCTAGGGTAGACCCTCTTTCACTCCCCCCCCCCGAACCAAACTCATCCCCCCTCCGAACGAAACTCACCCCCCCCCCCAATCAAAATCCTGGCTACGGGCCTGCTTGCATGAATGCCTTTTCTCATAAGTTTCTGACTCTAACAGGTCATGCTTTTTACCAAGAGGCTATGGCATCATTTTTTCCAAAAGGTTGTGACTTCTAACAAGGTCATACCTTTCCAAAGATTATAAAATCTCCAAAAGATTATGGAGATTTCTTTTTCAAAAGTGTATATGCTTTCTCTGTGTTGACTCACCTTTCAACAATTGTGTGGGTCTCTGAGAAACAGATATCAGCTGAAATATACTTGTTATCAAAATGCCCAAGAGAATGTATGAGCTTATTTGGAACTGGTGATTTGGTAGAGTCAGTGAACATGGTTAGCAGAAAGCCAGTGCTTTCAAAAGGGATGCAAAGTTACAGAAATAATGCCAGCACTGAGAATAAAAATATGAGCTATGCAGCAAAATCCACTTAGAGTAGATCCCAATGAGCTGCCTAGAACTTCAGCCTAAAATACAAAGGGGGAAAAGTTGTGGGATGGTAATTCTCCCTACTATTTGTCTCTTCAAACTCATTGCAAAGGGAGTGATCACTGGAATAGCTTTGTTTAGCCCCTAAAATTTTCAGAGTTTTTTTTTTTGCTTCTATCTATTTAGCAAGTAGACACACAGACACTTGTTCTTCCCAGTGAAGGCGGCGACACCAGTATAGTCCAAACTGTAACTCATATTTGGCAGGATAGTTCGAGTTAAAGCAGGCATGGGCAAACTTGGGCCCTCCAGGTGTTTTGGACTGCAACTCCCACAATTCCTAACAGCCTCAGGACCCTTCCTTTTCCCCCTCAGCCGCTTAAGCGGCTGAGGGGGAAAAGGAAGGATCCTGAGGCTGTTAGGAATTGTGGGAGTTGAAGTCCAAAACACCTGGAGGGCCCAAGTTTGCCCATGCCTGAGTTAAAGCCTACCATAAGTAACCCAAGGATGCTTCCATTGTTATTAAACACACGTTGAATCCCATTCCAGGCTTTCTTTTGGATTTTGGGGTGACTCTGAACCAATCTTCCATTCCTTCATTCACAGACCCACCTTCCTTCAAAGAAAACCACCTTGGTTTTAATCAAAGTTTATTATTAATATAATATAATTGGTACATTCAACAGCTGGTAATAAATTATGTTCACATTTCCTGGGAAGTGTTTCCTTTTTCCAACAAAGGTATTGCTGGAGAATCTCAAATTATTGCATCTTTTTAAATTAGGATAAATTATATAAATTATACATTCAAAAGGGTCATTCTATTCCCCTAACTTTACTAAGCAATAAATAGATAAATAAAAAAGTTGATTGCCATTAGAATAAGTCTTCGTTTTTTTCATTCAAAAGCACCTCTTGGAAAATATGGTCTTTAAATACAAATGTACACTAGTAGAAAGACTTGCTATTTACATTCCAATAACATTCAGGTTTCATGATATGAAGTCAAAGGGTGGCTCATTCTCAATGTTGTTGAGGGAAGGCTTGTTGCTTAACTTCCTGGGGTCTTCTGGGGTCCACACTTTGGCAGTTCGGATAATGTTTTGTTCCTTGAGCTGCTTCTCATCAGTCCATGAGAGTGAATGGCCAGCCAAGGGAGGAAGTCCATAGTCAGGGTCACTTGGGGAAGGGGATCCTGGTGGGGAGAAGAGGACAAATGAGAAGTCAAATACTTCATATTATCACACAGAATAAACATCATTCCTGGAGATTTTGGTCATTTCTGTCATTTATTCCTGTGTGTTTCGTGGACACACAGCACGCCAACACCTTAAATCAAGAAATAGTTTTCTAAGCTCTACAGAGATACTTGCAGAAACACCTCAGCAAGCAAGAGTCCAAAAGTGGCAGGCTAAAACCTGGAGCCATGTTTGATACCGAATGAGATAATCCCCCCTGGGCACACAGAAGACTGGGCCACTTGGAAGGCAATTGAAGGGAGATGTTGACAAGCTGGAATGTGTCCAGAGTAAAATGTTTAAGGGTCTGGAAAACAAGCCCTATGAGGAGCAACTTAAAGAGTTGGGCATGTTTAACTTGCAGAAGAGATGGCCACATATACATATGTGAGGGGTAGTCATAGAGAGGAGGGAGCAAGCTTGTTTTCTGCTACCCTGGAGACTAGGACATGGCTTCAAACTACAAGAAAGGAAATTCCACCTTCCTAACTGTGAAGGTGAACTTCCTAACTGTGAAAACTGTTCAGCAGTGGAACTCTCTGCACCGGAGTGTAGTGGAGGCACCTTCTTTGGAAGCTTTTAAACAGAGGCTGGATGGTCATCTGTTGGGGGTGCTTTGAATGTAATTTTTCTGCTTCTTGGCAGGGGGTTGGACTGAGTGGACATGAGGTCCCTTCCAACTCTATGATTCTAAGGTGCTGAACAGACTGCGCTCTGGCACCACGAGATGCAGAGCCAATTTTCAAAAATGGTGCCACAAAGTGGAGTCCACGACATGCAAATGTGAAGAAAAGCAAACCACAGACCACCTATTATAATGCAGTCTGAGCCCTGCCACATGCACAATTGAGGACGGTCTTCTAGCAACACCAGAGGCACTCCAAGTGGCCAGCTACTGGTCAAAGGGCATTTTGTATAATGCCAAGTTGCTAAAACTTTGTTTGTGATTTTAAATACATTACAACTGTACCCTCGGTCTGCTTCTGACACGATAAATAAAATACCCAGGAAAAAAAGAAAGGAATCAGTTGCGGCTGCACAAAAGCACCTGTTTTCTCCCTGCTGGGTCCTAGGATTGCAGAGCAAGAGGTCCTATTAGCATTCAGTGCCTGTTGCATGCCAAGCTCATTCGAGCCAGCAATTCCCAAGGAGGAATAATGGTATTTACACTCAGAAAGGTGTTTTTCCTTCAGATACGCTGCACTTGGAGAAAAAAAGGACTTCTCCCAAGTAGACAGACACTTTCTTTTAGACTAGGCATGGGCAAACTCTGGCCTTCCAAGTGTTTTGGACTTCGACTTCCAGAATTCCTAACAGCCTCAGGCCCCTTCCTTTTCTCCCTCAGCCGCTTATGCGGCTGAGGGAGAAAAGGAAGGGGCCTGAGGCTGTTAGGAATTCTGGAAGTCGAAGTCCAAAACACCTGGAGAGCCAGAGTTTGCCCATGGCTGCTTTACACCAACCCTGTCCAAAAACTGGACGCTTTTGCCTTTCCATGGAAAAAACTTCCTTTGGTTTGAACTGGTGCCTCCCTCCCTCTCTCTCTATATATATATATCTTCACCCCTGTTTATTGATCGAAGGGAGACTTTGCACACACGCAAAAGGGTCCTAAAGGGAACAGATCTGAATCCGTGTGTCTGTTGGAGAACTTTTCCAAATCTCTACCCATTGAGACCGGAAGAGTGGAAAACTCTGCGTTGAGAGGAGCTCCGAAAGGAGTGTTTCATGTCTGGAAGAGTTTAAGCATTTTAGATCATGACTGGAGACCTGGATTTGAATCCCCACTCAAAGGAATACACTCTCATTCTACACACACACCCCAAACCCCGCGATAAGACTTCTCCTTGGGGTCCCCATCAGTCGCAAATGACAAAGGATGCCTGCCTACACTGAGGGGAAAGGAAAGCGGGTCTGCATTGAAGTGTAGTTGCTCAACTCAAGCAAGGGTGTAGAATGAACGCAGGTGGACATCACTTGCATTGCCAAGACAGGAGAGATGCTTTTCCAAAGTCTTTGTCCTACTCTGAGGAGGAGTGTAAGTGCCTCACCAAATGACAAGTCCAGTGATGCAGCGACACTTCAGATCTCCACTTCATCACACTTGAGAATAAATACACTTTAAATCCGGTTTCTGTCTGCTGCAGAATTCTGGGGTTTGTAGCTGAGTGAAACTGATAATGCTCCTTCCTAAACTACAAACCCCAGAATTCTGCAGGAGGCAGAAATCAGATTTTGAGTAGGTTTTTCGGGTTCTAGAAGCATTCTCTTCCTGACGTTTCGCCTGCATCTGTGCCAAGCATCCTCAGAGGTTGTGAGCAAGCGACCTCTGAGGATGCTTGCCACAGATCCAGGCGAAACGTCAGGAGAGAATGCTTCTAGAACATGGCCATACAACGTGAAAAACCTACAACAACCCAGTGATTCCGGCGATGAAAGCCTTCGACAATAGATTTTAAGTAGATTTTTTTTCCTCTAGTGTGATGAGGACAGTGAGCCATGGCGGCTAAAATAATATATAATACTAATATTGTGCTATGGTAATAATATAATATATTGTATTTACATATTACTTGTAAGCCGCTCTGAGTCCCCTTCAGGGTGAGAAGGGCGGCATATAAATGTCGTAAATAAATAAATAAGAGGACTAGATGTATGTTGTATGTTGCGTTTACACTGTCTGTTTTGATAAGGCCAACTGGCTAATCAATAAAAAGTTGTTGCAAATAATCTAAGCTAAAGTGGCGTCAAACTGCATCGAGTGTAGGCAGCTGGATCCCCACTGCCATACAATGCAGTGTAGACCAGGACTGGGCCAACTTGGGACCTCCAGATGTTTTGGACTTCAACCCCCACCATTGCTAACAGCCTCAGGCCCTTTCCTCAGCAGCCTATGGCAGGCCTGGGCGTTAGGAATGGTGGGAGTTAGTCCAAAACACCTGGGGGACCCAAGTTGGCCTAGGTCCGGTCTACACTGCATTGTATGACAGTGGAGATCCAGCTGCCTACACTGGGGCTGTTAGGAATGGTGGGAGTTGAAGTCCAAAACACCTGGAGGGCCCAGGCCTGCTCTAAGCTAAAGTGGCGTCAAACTGCATCGAGTGTAGGCAGCTGGATCCCCACTGCCATACAATGCAGTGTAGACCAGGACTGGGCCAACTTGGGACCTCCAGATGTTTTGGACTTCAACCCCCACCATTGCTAACAGCCTCAGGCCCTTTCCTCAGCAGCCTATGGCAGGCCTGGGCCAACTTGGGTCCTCCAGGTTGTTTGGACTTCAATTTGTTGTAATTCCCACCATTCCTAACAGCCTAACAGTCTCAGGCCCCTTCCTTTCCCCCCTCAACCGCTTAAGGAAGAGTCTGGAGCTGTTAGGAATGGTGGGAGTTGAAGTCCAAAACACCTGGAGGACCCAAGTTGGCTCAGACCTTCCATAGACTCCTCTCGGAGTGCACTGGGCTGTATTGTGGAGCCCCAGGCGGTGCAGAACCATGGTGTGTTGCTGCACTCACGGGTTCCTCGGTGGCAGATGATGACCTTCCTGGGCGGGCAGGGGCTGGTCCCGGCGCCGTGTCCTCGGAGGGGCGCCTCGGCGTGGAGCAGCTCGCTGAGGAAGTGGATGTACCCGATGGCGAGGCGCAGCGTGTCCACTTTGGAGAGGCGCTTCTCGTAAGGCAGCGTGGGGATGTGGGCGCGCAGGCCCTCGAAGGCGTCGTTCAGCGACTGCATCCGCCTCCGCTCCCGCACGTTGGCCGCCTGGCGCAGCTGGGCCAGCTCCGCCTCGGAACGCACTCTCCTCCGACGCCGCGACGCCGCATTGAGCGCCTTCAGGCCGCCACCTCCGGGAGAATAGCCCTCGAAGTTAGGCAGGAGGGGCGGCGAGGAAGGAGAGAAGCCCTCGGAAGCGCCCTCGGAAACCCCTCGGAAGCAGGCGTGGAAGGGCGCCTCAGAGAAGCCCGCCTCGCCTTCCAAGAGCTCGTCGCCGTCCAAAGAGTGGTCTGTGAAGAAGTCCTCGTCGTCGAAGTAAGGCTCCGAGGAGAAGGCGTCCAGGCCGGAGGGGAAGTGCTCCAGCAGGACGGCCTCCATGGCGGGAGGGGCAGGAGAAGCCGGTCCTTTCCCCCCTTGGCCGCCTGCTGCGCCCGGACTGCTTCCTTGCGCTTCCTAGGCTCTTCCTCTCTCTCTTCCTCTCTCTCTCTCTCTCTCTTTCTCTCTCTCCCCCGAGGGAGGCTCGGGGCTCGCAGGGGCTGAGGGCCGGCACGCGAGGCCTCTTATAGGGACAACCCCAGGCGCGTGCCATCAGCCCGCCCCGCCAGCCAATCAGAGACCCCCAGGAAAGGCACCCCTCGGTACTCACTGCAGCGGGGGTTCATCATGACGCACACCTAGGTCACTCACCCTCTGAGCGGGAGGAGGGAGGCCCAGGAGTCCCCACTCACTCGCCCCTTCGCGTGGCCCCCTGTCTCCCGGCGCTTTATTTTTTACTAGCTGTCCCCTGCCACGGGTTGCTGTGGCTCAGTCTGATAATTTGGAAAATAAAGTAATGAGAAAGTGTTGGTTTCTAATACATGTAATTTCTTTATGCTTGTTGGTAAACAGTATTTGATTACGTTTTCTTGCCCTGGGGAAGGGAGCTGGACTGGATGGCCTTAAGTATTTTCTGCTGGTCATGGGGGTTCTGTGTGGGAAGATTGCCCCAATTCTGTAGTTGGTGGGGTTCTTTGAAATCCCTGTAAATACAACTCCCAAATGTCAAGGTCTATTTTCCCCAAACTCCATCTGTGTTCATATTTGGGCATATGGAATATTCGTGCTAAGTTTGGTCCAGATCCATCATTGTTTGAGTCCACAGTGCTCTCTGGATGTAGGTGTACTACAACTCCCAAACTCAACGTCAATGCCCACCAAACCCTTCCAGTATTTTCTGTTGGTCACGGGAGTCCTGTGTGCCACGTTTAGTTCAATTCCATCATTGGTGGAGTTCAGAATGCTCTTTGATTGTAGGTGAACTATAAATCCCAGCAACTACAACTACCAAATGACAAAATCAATCCCCCAACCCCACCAGGATTCAAATTTGGGCTTATTGGGTATTTGTGCCAAATTTGGTCCACTGAATGAAAATACATCCTAAGTCCAGTCGTGTCAGACTCTGGGGAGTGATGCTCATCTCCATTTCTAAGCGAAGAGCGTGTGTGTTGTCTATAAACACTTCCAAGGTCATGTGGCCAGCATGACTGCATGTTTTTGACTTCAACTCCCACTATTCCTAACAGCTTCAGGCCCTTTCCTCAGGAGTCTATGGCAGGTCTGGGCCATCTTTGGTCCTCCAGGTGTTTTGAACTTCAACTCCCACCATTCCTAACAACCTCAGGCCCTTTCCTCAGGAGTCTGTGGCAGGTCTGGGCCATCTTTGGTCCTCCAGGTGTTTTGAACTTCAACTCCCACCATTCCTAACAACCTCAGGCCCTTTCCTCAGGAGTCTATGGCAGGTCTGGGCCAACTTTGGTCCTCCAGGTGTTTTGAACGTCAACTCCTACCATTCCTAACATCCTCAGCCCCTTTCCTCGGGAGTCTGTGGCAGGCGTGAGCCAACTTTGGTCCTCCAGGTGTCTTGAACTTCAACTCCCACCATTCCTAACAGCCTCAGGCCCTTTCCTCAGGAGTCTATGCCAGGCCTGGGCCAACTTTGGTCCTCCAGGTGTTTTGAACGTCAACTCCTACCATTCCTAACATCCTCAGCCCCTTTCCTCGGGAGTCTGTGGCAGGCGTGAGCCAACTTTGGTCCTCCAGGTGTCTTGAACTTCAACTCCCACCATTCCTAACAGCCTCAGGCCCTTTCCTCAGGAGTCTATGCCAGGCCTGGGCCAACTTTGGTCCTCCAGGTGTTTTGAACGTCAACTCCTACCATTCCTAACATCCTCAGCCCCTTTCCTCGGGAGTCTGTGGCAGGCGTGAGCCAACTTTGGTCCTCCAGGTGTCTTGAACTTCAACTCCCACCATTCCTAACAGCCTCAGGCCCTTTCCTCAGGAGTCTATGCCAGGCCTGGGCCAACTTTGGTCCTCCAGGTGTTTTGAACTTCAACTCCCACCATTCCTAACAACCTCACCCTTTCCTCAGGAGTCTGTGCTAGGCCTGGGCCATCTTTGGTCCTCCAGGTGTTTTGAACTTCAACTCCTACCATTCCTAACAACCTCAGGCGTCTATGGCAGCCGCTTAAGCGGCTGAGGGGGGAAAGGAAGGGGCCTGAGGCTGTTAGGAATGGTGGGAGTTGATGCCCAAAACACCTGGAGGACCAAAGTTCGGCCAGGACTGCTCTAAGCAGCAGAAGACAAACTTCTCTCCTCTTCCAGGAGTTGCAGTACAAACCTGTGTATAAATTCTATTGAATCCCAATGACAACAGAGGAGATTCCCATCTAAACTTTGGGAAGACCTGTTCTCAGTGGAATAGACTGACTCTTTGGAAGTGAACTTTCCTCTTTTGGAGGTCCTTCAGCAGAAGTTGGGTGGGTCTCTTTCTGGAGTGCTGTAGTTGTGTGTTTCTGCACAGCTTTGTGGCGCTTCCCAACCCTATAATTCTAATATCTGGAGTGTCTGGATCTTTCTTTTCTCCCATTTCTACCAAGATGTTCCTATCTCTATGATACAGAAAGCGAGTGGGCAGAGTGTATCTGTCCGGTCTGCTTCCCTCTTTCCTCTCCCTTTCTCTCCCTCTCTGCCTCTACCTACCTAAGCCGGCTTTGGAGAATTAATGAAGCTGTTAACCATGTTTTTTTAACCACCGAAGCGTTGATTTATCGACTCTATTGTGAGTGTTTTGGTGACAGCCAAAGTTAAGAGCACCCTTCCCTTCAAACATCAGAGCAAATTAAATCTGCTTCTTGTGATCGGCTGGGTATCGATTTTGAACATATCGGATTTTACTCTTCCCACCCTGGTCATCTGCTTTTTTTTCCTCCCCAGAAATTCAGACTCGTAAGATCGCTCGCCTATTTGCTCCTATTGGAGAGGCGAACCCCAATAGGAGCAAAAACGTCAGGAGAGAATGCTTCTGGAAGGTCGCCATACAACCCGGAAAACTCAAAGCAGCCCAGTGATTCCGGGCAGGAAAGCCGTCGACAATACAAAAAAGCATGTGTTGGTTTGAGGCAACTCTTGCTTCTTGAAAGGGATGATGTCCATGACACTAAATATCCTCACCCCAACAAATGAGTTTGGCATTCAAGCCACTGCAGAAGTGAGTCCTTTCCGCGCAGGCGCAAAGCCTGGCCGCTTTGGAACTGGTCATTGGGTTCAGCCGCAGAGGAGCGAAGGCCGAAAGCGCCTCTCTCCCCCCCCCCCCCCCCCCCCCCTAATGATAGAAGGGTAATAAATGACCCGACTTCAAAGCCTTCTGCAAGTGAGATAACCCAGAGTGGCGGCGAGGCAGGGGAGCAAGCCCAGGAGCTGCGAACAAAGGCTTGATTCTTGGAGCATTCTGGGGGGTTTGGACCAATCTGTCCCAAAGGAGAGAAGAAATCCAGAAACCACGCCAAGGGTGAAAGCGTTCAGGGATTGATCGGTGGCCTGAATCAATTAGTTCAATTATTATCAATTTGAATTGCAATTGGAGAGGTTCCTGTGACTCAAGAGTGCATCTAGACCAGGCATGGGCAAACTTGGGCCCTCCCTCCAGATATTTTGGGCTCCAACTTCCACAATTCCTAACAGCCTCAGGCCTTTTCCTTTTCCCCCTCAGACACTTAAGCAGCTATTCTAGCTGGACGCAGTCTCCCAATTACCTCTGCGTTTCTAGCAGCTATTCTAGCTGAACGCTGTCTCCCAATCACCTCTGCGTTTCTAGCAGCTATTCTAGCTGGACGCCATCTCCCAATCACCTCTGCATTTCTAGCAGCTATTCTAGCTGGACGCCGTCTCCGAATCACCTCTGCGTTTCTAGCAGCTATTCTAGCTGGACACCGTCTCCGAATCACCTCTGCGTTTCTAGCAGCTATTCTAGCTGGATGCCGTCTCCCAATCACCTCTGCATTTCTAGCAGCTATTCTAGCTGGACGCCGTCTCCCAATCACCTCTGCGTTTCTAGCAGCTATCCTAGCTGGACGCCGTCTCCCAATCACCTCTGCCTTTCTAGCAGCTATTCTAGCTGAATGCCATCTCTGCTCTGTTTCCTTTTGCCATTCCAGAAATGTGGGCACTTGCAAAACCTCATTTTCTGATTCTAACTGCCCTTCCGATTCCTGAACACTTTCCTGCTCCTCTTCGTCTTCTGAAGATGAGAAATCCCTAACACACAGGGTTTTCTGAGGCTAAGAGTGTGTAACCTACTCACAGTCACCCAGTGGGTTTTCACGGGGATTTGAACCTTCCAACACTCAAACAACAATGCCTAAAGGTGATGTGAATTTGCAAGAGTATCTAACTGTTGGGAATCAGAGCTGTTAGGCTAAAAAAAAAAAAAAACCTCACTTGGGGTGAGTCATTCATAAATATAGCAGAGTTCTAGAAGCAAACTTCATAACCAAAGAAACTTAAATGTGGTGAGTCAGGATAAGCTTCCACTCAACAGGATAGTACAGCATTGCAGAGACAGAACTTTAGATTCTAAATATTTATTCAAGAAAAAAAAACATTCTAGATAGAAAAGGGTCTTGGAGTATATTAGCTTACTAAGCTCATATTCTAAGGAAGGTAAAAGGATAAAATATCAAAAGTATCAATGCAGCTACATTTTGCCTGGAGAAAGGCAAAATGCATCCTCAATGGAAAGGAGACAAAGGTAGAGAGACAGCAATAGAGAAATACCACATAGCCAAGCCAGGACAATAAAAATGCCTTTCAAGAGGAAGTTACCTCATCCCTCACAGATATTCCACTGCTACATCTTCAAAGGGGGAGGAGATAGTGGCAAGCAAGAAGAGTAAAGACAAAGCTCCTTCTGAGAGAAGCATGCATAGGAATGTGGGGAAAGGAACCCCACAATCTAATCCTATATCTAAGTCTATCTACTCATTAAGGACTGGAGACTTGTACAGTCAAGGGATGAAACCCAACACTAATAAAAAGAAGCAGGGAGACTCAAACCAGGTTGGAACTCTCATCTTTGCCTTGCAAGAGGAAGACCAGACCCCAGTGGTGCAATGAATTCAATCCTTATGCAGACAGGGCTGCTGACTGAAAGGTCGGAGGTTCGAATCCAGGGTGGGGTGAGCTCCCATCTGTCAG